AGCGGTCTGCACGTGAAAGGGCGTGTTGAGTGAAAAAATCTCACATCGAATATTAAAATAGAAAGCTTATAGATTAAATATAAGGAAGGTTACTCCACCTATTGTTAATTGATTTTAAATTAGATGCAAGTTTTGTATTGAACCCATATGCACGATATTCACATCCCTCCTCCCCCACTTTTTTTGGGTCTGCACTTGTAATTAGATGTATGCATGTTAATTTTTATATTAATTAAATATTTATAACTTTTTAGTTAAAAAATTTTATTTTTTAATATATATTTGATAATATTAAATTTTATATAATCAATAATTAATTTAACAATTAATATATATGATTGATATGAATATAATTTTTAATTTAATTATCAATTCTAAAAATATTAATTAAAAAATATATTTTTAGACAACCCTTTCAAAATAAATTTAAGAGGATTATATAAAAATCCTTTTCCTTTAACCATCATAAACCTCAGCATCCCAAGACAATTTCACTAAATGCAGTACGTAAAAAGAGATTAATTTAGAAGTGTAAGTAAATTTATACAAGATTGTTCAAAGAAAAAAAAAATCATAAACGCGTAAGTTAAGAACTTATCAATAGTAAGAACTTTATTATTAGTACTTTGTCTGCCTTTTTCTCTCTCTCTCTTTGGGTCCGCCATGAACTTTGATATTGGTACTTCTTTTAGGACAAAATGAATCTTTCTTTCCCGAATGGAATAATCATATACCAGTAATATGACTTCCTTTTGCTTGTTAGTTAATATCACGTAAATTTAAATTTATAATCTTTATCTTAAAGTAAAGTTTTTAAATTAATGAATAATAACTTGACTAAGTTCTTATTGGTTTTTGAGTTGATCATAGAATGATATTATGAACTAGTTTAACTTAGACCTCATCTTACTACAGCTCATTTATAATAATTTTAGAGTAATTCTCAGGAGAGAAATAATATATACACCTTATAAAGTTACATATTTTATTACACATTGACAATTTTTATTATTTGTGTCGTTAAAAATGATGGTTTTTATTCACTACAAGAATTCACTCTATCACCGACCAGAAACCATGTCGGAGAAAGAGGGAATCTGGTCGGTGAAACAATATACCCACTTGCATCACGTAGGTAATGGCTGCCTCGGTAAAGCCCGGCTCGGTAATTAAATCACCGAGGTAGATGAAAATCACGTCGGTAAACTCACTCACAATTACCGACAAAGAACATCTTGCAAATAGGAGCCGGAACAGTTAACCGGAAAACATCTCTGGTTCCACGTCGGTAAATTACCGACAAGGATAACGTCTGGACATTAGGAGGCGCCTCGAGCCCTGCGCTTATCACCGACGAACATCACGTCTCCAATGCCGCGGGAATAGTAGCCGTCTTACTACATCACCGACAAGAGCAACGTCTGACAGTGAAGATCTCGCTGCAGGTTCAAATCGTCTCCAAAATTTTAGGCGCCAATTGTTTACGCGCGATTTTTGATTTTTCTAGTTACCGACGAGAGTAGCATGGGTAATTAACCCTGAAAAAATAAAAAAAATAATGTTGAATTCAGCTTATTCCCAAAATTTTGGGCGCCACTTTTTTCAGCGCCAATTTTTTATTACTGTTTACCTACTTACCGACAAGAATAGCGTCGGTAATCAACCCTGAAAAAATAAAAAAAAAATGTCTTGAATTCAGCTCATATTAAAATTAATATATATATTTATTATTTAATTAAATTAATTTATAATTAAACATTAAGTAATTCGTAATA